GATTCTTCAGAATAAAACTTGGCATTCCTTCCTTTTGATGAAATGGTGGAAAGTTAGAGAGTGAGTATATTAGGAACAACTTTTCTCTCAGTTACTTACATATTTAACTCCTTTAACATAATAAGCTGGATTCCTGTGAGGACACACTGAGGTGCTCATTAATAAGGTGCTTAGTGAGACTCTAGATTACAAGGGAGGAGGGGCAGTGCAGCTGTGTATCAGGCTAATCCTCCACCCCGTGGCGCTGTATCCCATGTGATTGCTCATTCTATTTAGCTGCTCCACATCCCGTCCAGCTCTCTGTGACCTGGGAAAGCAGTGGAGGATAGCCTGCATGGGAGACCTAGAGGAAGCTCCAGACTCCTCGCTTTGCATCAGCCCAGCCCTGGCCATTGTGACGACTGGGGAGTGATCCAGTGGATGAAAGATCTCTCTCTTTCTCCTTCTCTCTTTGTATAATCTGTCTTTCAAATGAAATAAATAAATCTTAAAAAAAGAAATTCTAGGTTATAGACATAAAAGATACTTGTAAAAGGTAAGATTTTGAAGCATAACAGACTTTCAGACATTCTGACAATGTATACACTGCTTAATGATGGTTAAAGAATTAGCCCTGTTCGGGTGCTTTTGTGAAATGGGAATGCGATCTTTTCCCTGGACTGTAAGGTAGGAATTTAAAGTAGGTTTCTTGGCTAGCAAGGCCTGGCGGTGAGGCTGGTCCTAGCCCTCTGCAGGGTTCTTCTCCTATCCTTAAATAAAACAAAGCAAAAACTGTTTTTGAAAAAGTTATGATAAATCTATAAAATCATTTAGAATTTAACCAATTTTACTGTTAGCTTTAAAAAATTTACTTTTATTTTGTTTTTATTGAAAAGGCAGATACACAGAGAGAAGGAGAGATAGAGAGAAAGATCTTCTGTCTGCTGATTCACTCCCCAAGTGGCTGCAACAGCCAGGATTGAGCTGATCAGAAGCCTGGAGCCATAAGCTTCTTCTAGATCTTCCACATGGGTGCAAGGTCCCAAGGCTTTGGGCCATGCTCAATTGCTTTCCCAGGCTATAAGAAGGGAGCTGGATGGGAAGTGGATCAGCCAGGTTATGAACAGGGGCGCATATAGGATTCTGGTGGATGCAAGGTGAGGATGTTAGCTGCTTGGCTATTGTGCTAGACCCTGCTATTAGTTTTTTTCTTTTCTTTTTTTTTTTTTTTTTGAGGTAAAGAGCTACATAGAGAGAGACAGACAGACACAGAGAACTCCCATCCACTGGTTTATTCTCCAAATGCCTCCAAAGTGTGAGGCTGGACCAGGATGAGGCTGGAAAGTTGGGAGCTCAACCTGGGTTTTCTGGATGCGTGACAGGGAATTGCTTGGACCATCCGTGCTGCCCTCCAGAGACATTATAGCAGGAAGCTAGGACCTCTGACATGCAATGTGGACGCCCCAACTGGTGTTTCAGCCAGGTCAAATACCAGGGTCCAGTTTTGCTCAGTGGCATTAGGTATAAGCTCAGCAGTATCTTATCATCACCATGCATCTTCAGAACTTTTGCTCAACTTGAAACTGTCTTCATTAAAAAGGAACTGCCCAATCTCCTCTGCCCCTCAGTCCCTGGTAACTGCCACTCCCCCTGGCTCTGTGAATTTATCTGCTCCAGTTATCACACATAAGTGGAACCATACAGTATTTCTTCTTTTTGCTCTGACTCATTTTGTTGGCATCACGTTTTCAAGGTTCATCTGTGTTGAAGCATGTGGCAGAATTTCATTCCTTTTGATGTCTGAACAATATTCAATTGCACGGATAGTACACATTTGCCTATCCATCTGTAATGGACGTTAGGATTGTTTATCTTTTGGCTGTTATGAATTATGCTTCTATGAATGTTTAAGTATCTGTTCGAGTCCTTGCTTTCAACTCTTTTTATACTTACCCAGGAGTGGACAAATGCCAACAAAGCCCTTGACTCCCGTAATTTCCTGCTACGTGGAGTGAGTGTGTCTCCTCTGCTTATGCCGTATGTGTGAGCAGTTGCTTTCTTCACTGTCAAATGTGCAGCAGGTTTTTATCCTTCCCATTGGCTCCTCCTCTAACTTTGATCACTTCAGGGGGCAGCCACAGAGAAATGTTAATCTAATTCTACCTATTATCTGCCTGTAACAAGGGCTATTTGAAACCTACCTGCACCCTGGCATGACTTTGAGGACTATTGCACTATCTAGGATGGCAAAACTAAATCGATATAAAAAGTGTAAAGGCCAATCCTCTGCCTGTGGGGCTGGCATCCCACATGGATGCCCGTTTTGGTCCCAGCTGCTCCGCTTCCTGACCAGCTTCGTTTACAGTCTAGGAAAATGGCGGAGGATAATTCAAGTTCTTGGGTCTTGTTTGGGAGACTCAGAGGAGGCTCCTGGCTCCTGGTTTGGGATCGGCCCAGCTCCAGTTGTTGTGGCCATTTGGAGAGTGAAGATCTTTCTCTGTCTCACCTTATCTCTGTAAAATCTGGCTTTCCAATAAAAATACCACTTAATATTGTTAAACCATTTAGATATAGGTAACTGCCTAACTAAGTCCCTGTGCACGATAGATCACTATGCAGCCATCAAGAGAAGTTAGACCAGAACAGAGGGTCGGGCAGCCCCTGCACACACTCTCAGCCTTACCTGGGCCTGAGCTGCTCCTCCGAAATAAGGTTCTTACTCCACAGGCTTGTTACCACCCCAACAGTTCCTGGGGGGCACTGCAGACCCCCCAGAAACAGTGGTGATCCTTAACAGAAGAGGTAGGCCTCCTCAGGCCATCTTAGAGAGATGTCCACGATGCCTTGTCAAGAGAGTAGAGCCAGCTGCAGAAATCATGTCATTTAGTAAAAAATATGTCAAATGTGCTTGCTGTTCACTGTTTCCTCTTACCTAAAATATACGCTTTGCAAGAGTGGGAACTTTGGGCCTGATGTGGTAGCCTAGCGGGTAAAGTCCTTGCTTTGAATGTACTGGGATCCTATATGGGCACTGCTTCTAATCCCAGTGGCCCTGCTTCCCATCCTGCTTGTAGCCTGGGAAAGCAGTCGAGGATGGCCCAAAGCCTTGGGACCCTGCACCCATGTGGGAGATCTGGAAGAGGCTCTGGGTTCCTGGTTTCAGATTAGGTCAGCTTTGGCCGTTGTCACTTGGGGAGTGAAATATCAGACGGAAGATCTTCCTCTGTCTCTCCTCTCTGTATATCTGACTTTGCAATAAAAACGAATTTTTTTTAAAAAAGGAGTGGGGACTTTTGTTTGCTTTTTCTCTCCAGTGTGTGTCTGTCATAGATGCTCTTAAAAGTGTTTGCTGAATAAATGAATGGCACCAAGGAGTCTCTCCAAGGAGAAATTGCTAACAGCAGTTCTTGCCTGAGCAGTGAGGGGAGAGGCCAGAGGATCCTGGGAGAAAGATCTCTTTGGTTCCTCCCCTTGTCTGCTGTTTGAATTTCTTGCGATGAGCTTGCACACCTTCCAAGGAAAACACAGCTCCAGAAGACAGAGGTTTCAATTACAGTAAGTAAAGCTTGCCCCAACTAACAGCAGACAGAGCAGGCATAGGAGAGATGACTCTCCCTGTAACCTGCTAAGTGTGTGTGCCAGGGAGCAACTGACAAAGGAAGGGACACACATGGCTCCTATTTCCTTGCTGGTCTCCTGTGCATCTTTTAAAGCGATTTTTGTCATCTTCGAGTCCCACAGGACCTCTCTCGGTCATCTCAGTACCAATTGCATTCTCCAGAGGGCTATCAAAGATGGGCTCTCATCTCTTTTCTGTGTCTACCTTTATTGCCTCATTCCACCCTGCCTTTAAAGGACTAGCTTAAGTGTGACTACCCCGGAGCCCCTTCCTCCTGGGCCCTGCTACAGACTATGCATGGGGCCATCTCTCAGCATGTAGCCTGCAACATCTGCTGTCTCCCTTCTAGCTTACAGATAGGCTTAGGCATGGCCTATGACAACTGCATCTCAAGAGTTTTTAACTCCCTCCCCTCCTGCACATGATCCCTACAATACAATGAGTAAATACACATTACGGAGCCACGTGTTGTGATTCTAAAGGTATCAGGAATATTTCATGTACCCTAAAGTTTCTAGGAGCAGAAAAAGTTTATGAATCTTCTCACAAGCCCTGGGTTGAGCCACCTGCTCTTGTGCCAGCAGGTGTCTCCCATAGGCAATGATGAGAACTCTGCAATGCTATGCCTCTACCGGTCTATGTTGTCAGCTTCTGGTTGACCACAGGTCTGCAGCAGCGACTCCAGGCTTATTTGCTCCATAGCAGTGTATGTTGTAACAGAGTTGAAATGTATAGGGAATTGAACAAATGGGCCAATCTAAAGGGTATTCTAAGATGGTGCTGACTTCTGCCAGCTTTGTGTAGATTGTTGGATCTTCTGCTAGGTAAATATCTTCATGGAGAAAACCTGGATGGGTGTTGGGCCCCTGGGCTGAACCATCTCACCAATGGAGGCATTCGGCTCAAGAAGCTTTCCCATTGGAAAGACAGCATGCTGCTCACACAGGATTCTCACAGTACATCAGTAAAGCAGCTTTCTGGTTTAGGGAAAAAAAATTCTATAGAGATTATACTTAAGATTTCTTTAGAGAATTTAAGGCAATGGTTGCTTGTGCTATTCTGTGCTTTGTCCTCTTTCTCATATGAGGAAGAAAACCACGGCTCTTATTTTCAGAAATCCGCAGCCTCTCGCTGCTTCGAGGACATGCTAGAGGCAGGTCATCTTGCCTGTGACAACAGTAGGACTGCCCATCATAGCGATGCAATGAAAGCACATTTGGTTTTAGGATTTAACTGGCAAATCTGATGCAACCTTTGCAAAAAAAAAAAATGGCTTATAGGCTGCTTCAGATCCTTGCTTTTGAAAATAGAAACCACAAAACTTTGTTTTCTTCCAAACCCACCTTGAGAACCAGAACCCCCTCAAGTCGATTCCAAACTGAAAAATGTAAATCCATTTCCTGTGTGTGTTTGTTCCTCAGGGGTCTCAGTGTTAACACTCAAGTGAAGGATGTGGGGGAAGAAGTGGTGCCATTGATCTGCTTATTAGATGTGCCTGAGTGTGTTCAGCCTTCATCCAAAAAATCTGGACATCCTTTGTGATGATTGGAACAATCCCTACTGCTAATTGCTTCAGCTTTGGGAAAGCAGGTGGGTGCTGTTAGGACGCCTGCTTTTAGCAGGTGAGGGCTGATAAAGTAGAAGTGAGGTGGCTGGTCTCTCCTTCCAGAGCTGCCTTCTACCCTCCTGAACGCTTTGTTCCCACAGAAGCAGCCATGCCAGAAGCCAGCCTCCCGGGAGCTTCCTTCCGTTCCTCCAAGATTAGCCTTGGAGGCCGCGGCAGGAGCAGAGGTGCCTTCATGGCTGTTGCCTTTCTGCCAAGAAGGAGCGTTTTTTTTTTTTTTTCTTCTTAGTTCCTCAATGGTAGTGGAGCCGCTGTCTTGCCACGCCTCTCTCTCTCTCTCTTTCTGAGGAGATACTCATTCTGGTTGTCACCCAGCAGCTTCCGGGAGTGGTAAGTGGGCAAGAGTGTTTTCCGGGAGTTGATCTTAGGTTTTCAAGAATGTCCTCTAGAGACCTGCTCCGTTTTCTATGCAATTGCTAGAGCTCTCACAGTAGCTGCGCTTTTCTCATAGATATGGTCACAGATGGATACCTATTTGATCTTCTGGTGTTGCTGGGAACTCTTCCTTTCAGGGGGGACAAGGGTTAGGTCCAGGCTGAGGTGAGTAAGTGGGGAGTATTCAATGGTTAGCGAGATCCAGTGCAAAGTCAGTTCTTCCCCCTTCCCCCCCTCCAGATTCCTGTTTTGTTTTCTTTGGTGTGGCCGAGAGCTAGCACACATTTTTAATTATTGTCTTACTAAAAATTTTGGGGGAAATTGCTTGGGGAAGGAAGACATACGTGACTTTTTAAAACTTGAATTGCTGATTTTTTCCCCCATTAAATGACTGATAGGAGTAGCTCAAATGTTGAATTGTTTTGGTTTGTGGGTCTCTGTTGCTTTCTTTGGTTGTAGTTGATTTTATTGTGTCCAAGAAGTTTGTATTTAGTGTACTTATTGGAGACACTGGTTATTCTATGATCAACACCTGCTTTAGATGTATACAATTTGCATGGAGTGATGACTCAGGGGCTTGCGTGCTGTCTGTCCAGGGCTAAGATTTGTGTGTGGACAGGAACAAATCCTTCTAGCTGTTTTGATAGGATATGAGTCTATCTTAAGCCCCAGGTTGACATCTAGCTGTTTTGAAGAAAAAAAAAAACTGGTGAGAAACATTAATTGGGGGCCAAAGGCTTATTAGAGAGGAGATTTGGGAGCCCAAGGTTTCTTCGGGGATTACTAACACCTGTGTCCATGAAGCAGCTTCTTTTGCTCAGGTGTTGCTCTATGCTGGCTTAGCTCACAAAGTGTAATCCTGTGGTTTCATTTAGCCTGTATTTGTCTATCTTGTGCTTTGATGTCACTTCAGAATATGTGGCTCTTCAACAATGCGGGGCCACATAACTTGTGTGTGTCCCCTGTAGAGCATGTTGGCGCACAGAACTTTTTTTGGTTCTAATGCAGCAAGTGGGAAATCTCACTTAGTAGGAAAAGGCTGAATCAGAGAAGCTTGAAGTTACAGCTCTCTTGGAAACAGAACCTCCAAATGTATGTGTTCTAGATGCTTGTTGGGTAAGTGTGAGAATTAGAAGCCAGTACTTTAAGATTTTTTCATAAAAAAGTCAAAGAATTTGGTAACTTCTTAACACATACTTAAGATATAAATAAATACTTAAAATATAAATAAATACTTAAAATATAAACATTTCTAATGGGATATTGGCTCTACAAGTTAAGTATCACTTTTAATTTTAATTTTAACTAGGTTTTAACAGATTCCATGTAGTTCACCGATCATGGTATTGCGTATTATTGATCATGATATTCGGGAAGCGTGTGCCTGCCCTACTGAGACTACCTTTGTCTCCCGGCTCCTTTTGTTGACTCAGCTGAAGTTTGTTGAGCACCTGCTCTGTTCCAGGCACAGGGCTGGATTATTCAATATAGAAAGCCACAGTATTTTTTCAGTGGAATGTTCTCCACCCTTCCTTGTGAGGCTGTGTTGCTTAGGGCTGTGATCCATGCTCTCTTAATGACTCATACGTACCCTTGTCCTCTCCTCCTCACTCTGTATTCTAGTTCTTTCTGTGGAGGAAGTCCTTCATCCCTCATGATTCCAAGTCTACAGAGTTGCCCTTTTAGTGTTGAAGATGTTGTTGTGATCAAGGGGCATTTCAAATATAACATGTTCACACTGAACTTATTCTCCTATCCCAATCCCTACTCTTGCTCCTCCATGTTCTCCCTCTGTTGATGATCTTAGTTAATGGTGTCTCTGTCCTCTCAGTGTTCCAGTAGAAGGACCTAGAAAGTCCATCTTGTTCCATGCCCCAACACAAGAACCCTTATGAAACTGTTAGTTCCACTGTGGAAATATTTCTGGAATCTAGTTCTGCTTGCCTGTTGTCAACGATAATACCTCTGCCTCATTTCTACCCATGCCAGCTGATGCTGTGGGAATAACTTGCCTAAAAACTGACAGTGTGGAATGGAAAAGAGACAAAGGGAGCAATGACAATGCACAAGGAGGCTGATTGGGTTCTAATGGTATCATTGCTCTCTTGGCCTCCTCTTTATCTGTAGGATCAACTATAGCATCTTTACCAAAAAATGTCCTATCTCACCTCCTCTGAATGTGGGGATCATGATAGCTCCTACTTGGGTGATCAACTAAAACAATTCATGTGAAATACTCGACACAAAGCGAAGTAGGCAGTGAAAAGACGTGATGATGGATTCAGCGAGGAAGATGACAATTTTGGAATTCAGCTCTTGTTTACCCCCTTGCAAATCCTGTATCACTCCACACCCTCCCATGCCTGTCTGACTGGTTGTTTTTACTGTCATTGCTCCTCTAATTTGCCCTTCAGGTCTTTCTCATATGCTGTTCCTTTGCACTGTGTGTGTCTTATTTCTGGATCAAATGTGTTCTTTCACAAGTTCGGGATTTGGAGTTGCCCTCTGCAGGGCCTTGAAGCAAGCTTGGTGATGCCCTTCCCTTTGTCATCATATTTCTCCAACTCCCTCTGCACTCCCCATTCTAATGTTCTTTCTGAGTGTCTATTCTCCTCTTCCCCAGACAATGGGCTCCTGAAGGACAGGGAATGCATCCCTTGGGCCCAGGCCATAGTAGCCATGATTGAACATCCCTGAAGGGAGGAGATGGTTCTGGATTTTGATAGGTTTTCTACATGCACAGAGTTAAGAAGTTTAGTCAGGAAAAATGATACCATTTTTAAATTGAGTACTAACCATGTAATAGCACTGTGTGAATTCAAAGGACCTTTTGAATTTTTTTCTTTCAGATTATCCTACACATTATTTGACAGCTGATGTTTATTGATGAGGAAACTGGAGCTTAGAAGGAAAAACTTGCTGGAGGTGATGAGATTAGTTGGACCAAACTCTTGTATTCTGACTTTAACAAGGGTGGAGGAATAGGGAAGTGAGAAAGGGAAGGAACATGACTAAATCAGGAGAGAAAGTACTAGATGGGGAGAAGCGAGGGAACTGCACAAGAGGCAGCCAGAGCAGCCTGTGAGAAAGAGAAAAGAGAATGGAAAAGATACTCAGATCAAGGAGGAGAATGAGCAGGGAATAAACAGCAGGTAGAAGTAAAGCTTCAACACTGTGTGCCAAGTGTTACCACCACATGCCTAACAGAGCACCAGCAGACCGCGTGTTGACATAGCAACTCATGTAACACCAACTTGATCGACCTAACACAGGAAATAGAACTTCTAATTGAGGCATTGCACTTAGCTGTAGTTGTTGAATTGTTTGTAAATTTGTGTGAGCCATCACTTACACTGAGACGTATGCACTTGTATGCATACAGAGTGGCATTTCTATGCCTGTGATATGAAGTGCAATGGATACAGGCATCTGTCCTTAGTAGCAAAGGTGATGGATACATTACCTAGGCCTTACCCTTCTGCACAAAGCAACCCTTTTCCTTAACACCTCCCTAGGCAGAGGTTTCCCTGCTCCATTCAGCGAGATGACCCTTTTTCTTTTTTTACAGAAAGGAGAGATGGCAAGAGAAAGATCCGGTTCACTTCCTAGAAGGCTGCAATGGCCAGAGCTGAGCCAATCCAAATCCAGGAGCCAGGAGATTATTCCAGGTGTCCCACACAGATTCAGGGTCCAAGGACTTGGGCCATCCTCCACTGCTTTCTCAAGCCATAAACAGGGAGCTGTATCCGAATTGAATCAGCTGGGAATAGGATCAGTGCTCGTAAGGAATGCTGGTGTTTGCAGGTGCAGGATTAGCCTGTTGAGCCACTGCACCGGCCCCATCAGCTGGCCTTCTTAAGGTTCAAGCTTTACTTGGACTGGTGCTACTATCTCAAGTAACCTATCTTTCCATCCAGGACTGCACTGATCTTCATAGAGATGGTGACTTGGAGTAGGGAGAAATTGCCTGAGTAAGAAATAGGAAAAGGAGATAAGAGTTAGAGGAGGAAAAAGGACTGAGTAGGAGAAATAAAGGCAGACTGCAGAGGAGGGAACAGAAGGCTTTAATGGAATTGAACATACAAGTGTACTTCATGACATGAGAGCTTGGAGGAAGACATCATTACCCACAATCTAGGAATTTGGAGATTGAGTCTTGAAATAGGAAAGTATTGTGCCCAAATGCTGAGTGAGCTGGGACTTGAACATACATACCCTGAAAAATCTCTCCTGTAGAGTATTTTGTCTCCACAAGGTAACAGATAGCAGAGTTGGAGGAAACAAGGCCTGTGGGACAGAACTGAGCATGGAGAGCAGAAGGCAAGTAAGGCAGGAAGCCCCCCAAAGGGCTACATTTTGGGTGAACTCTTTGGAGTCATGTCGATCCTTTTTCCCATGCCCTGTCTTCTCACTGAGTTGGAGAGGACCCGCTGCTCCCAGGAAGTAGAGGCTCTCCTAGGGGAGAGCTGCTGCTCTTGATCCAAGATGTTGAGGGCCGTGTAGGGGCCATGTAGCTTTTCTGTATAGGGCTCTAGGCTAGTTGGGAGGGATCCAGACATCTAATATTACTCAGCTTTTCTGGTCACTTCCT